GATGCCCAGCGTGGCCCGTGAGTCCTGCTCTTCCGGGGTGGGCGACGGGCTGCGTGGGATCATGCTCTGATACCATTCGCGGTTGTCCTCTAATGTATCTAGAATGTCCTGAGCATCTGGATGGACCAGATCAGCCCATGTCTCCCATAGAGGATGGACAATGTAATCGATGAACCCCACCTTAAGAAGCAATAATTAAACACAGTCATCATTAGTACAGTATAGTACAGGACAGGCTTTTTCAAACTTGTTAATCCCACATATGATGATTCATTTGTGAAGGAGCCGCTTTCTAAAACGGCAACTACATATTTTGACGTATGAACACACATTTATACAGTGTGAGAAATATGGAGTGTAAGATTTTTTTAAATAATAATTGGCTTGTATATGGTCATTTTGCAAATTATTAAAATAGTACCAGAAAATACTTTTTATTTACATCTATATTATACTACATTTTTATTTATTTTTTTAAACTAAATGCTGATTTTTGTCTTACAATTAAAAACTCACATACATTTTAATATCTTATGTCAATATCATAACTTAAACATCTTTTACTAATATCTTAAATGCACATATTAACCTTGACAGTTTTGAAAAATAAATGTTGTAATATTTAACTTTTTTTCTCAATTTTATTTACAGCTATATATTTTTAATGTATAAACACCTATTTATACAATTTGGGAAAAAAAGTGATATTGTGAAGATTTTTTTTAATTATTGGATTTTATGTCATCATTTTGCAAATTATTAAAATAGTATCAGAGAGTTTGTTTTATTTACATCTATAGTCTACTGTTATTTATTTATTAACAAAACTAAATTCAGATTTTTGTTCCAATTAAAAACTACTGCTAATAATAGAATAAAATATTCACAATTCATCTCATGATTTCACGAATCAAATTGAGTGAATGTTGAGTCATTATATTAAACATCTTTTATTAATATCTTAAATGCACATACTAACTTTGAAAGTCCTACAAAAGAAATTTTGTAATATTTCACTTTTTTCTCTAATATTTATATTAGAGACATTTATATATTATATTAATATTTATATTTTTTCATGTAATGAAAATAAACAACAATTTATAGTGTGAGAAAAATATTAAGTGCAATACTATAAAGACCCTTTTTTTTAAAGTACAAAACAGCATACTCAACATACTTATTATTTACATGTATATTCTGCTGTTTATTCATTTATTTATTACAACTAAATGCATTTTTCCCCTTACAGTTAAAATCCATTTATACAGTGTGAGAAAATATTAAATGTGATATTATAAATCCTTTTTGGAATATTTGGCTTTTGTAATTTCACAAATTATTAAAAGAGTATCAGAAAATACTTTTTATTTACATCTATATTCTAATTTTTATGATTTGAAACATATTTTAATAATATCATAATAGACACATTACCTTTGACAGCCTTAAAAAATAGTGTAATTCTTTAAATTTTTTCTCTCAATTTTTTGCCCCCTTGTGACTCTCCCAGACATACCTGCGTTTTTTCCACAGAAGCTGTGTGTTTGTCACACATGGGGCTGATTTCTATGCCCTTGTCACGTTCACGGTCCCCCTGTCTGAAGAGCTCCACCATGATGCGGTCTGTCCACTCTCTGTAGAGCTCCAGGGGTTTCGTGGGGTTGCTGAGGTCAGCGCAGTGAACCATATTCTGAAGCACCTTTCGAAGAAAAGAATGAATAATTTTTACAATTGTGCAAATAGAACTGAAAAGCCAAAAAATGGTCGACTAGTCACTCAGAAATTGACCTAAATAGAGTTGGCAGACTAGAATTGTACTTTGTATTGGTAGAATGAGACGTGCACTACCTGTATCCGGTCTGAGTAGTTGTCCAGCAGCAAGACTCCCAGACTGGTCACTTTTTTAGTTTCCACCATTGTCTTCAGGTCAGCCAGGAAATTCATGTGTTTGGACATATCAGTGGCTAATACCTGGAGAGACAACAGGGAATTTGATAATAGATCTACAAGTATTAAAAACACTGTATTGGAAATACAGTCCCCTCCCCCCATGTCATTCAGCTTCATAACAGCTTCATAACAGTCTTTTCAAATAAAACAACAAAGAGAGACCGGAGTAGTCTGATTCACAAATGAACGACTCTTATGAACTTGACTCACAAAGGAGTCACAGATCACTCATTACCTCAATGAATCATTTAAAAACAGTTACTGAATCTGTGTCATTCACTCATACATCATTACTATCAGACATCTGGTTATGATGTAAAATAAAACATTAACTGTTACTATATTTTCCTTAAATGGATAGTTTGAAAAAATGAAAATTCTGTCATCATTTACTTACCCTCAAGCTGTTCCAAACCGGTATTCCTTTGCTCCAAACCTCAATTTCATTTTTTTTCTTTTTCTGCTGAACACAAAAGTGTGTGAATAACTGGTCCCCACTGACTTCCATTGTCTTTTTTCCACACTTCGGTAGTCAATGGGTACCAGCAACTGTTTGGTTACCAACATTCTTCAAAATATCTTAATTTGTGTTCAACAGAAGAAAGAAAATCAAACTTGAGGGTGAGTAAATGATGATATGACACTCGCTGTGTAAATACTGCAAGTGGAGTAATACAAACGGTAAAATGGTTGGAGTGCTGTTATCACTAGAATATTGCACCACTATAAAATGCTCTCAGCCAATCAGATTCAAGGACCTGAAAGAACTGTTGTAAAAATAAATATATAATGAAATGTAGTAAGGATCAGTTATTTTGGACTTGTTTAAAATAACTAATAATAAGTGGAATCAGAATGATTACTATAACAATCCCTAGTCTGTAAAGTAAAGTTAAGTGGTCTAAATGGAAGGCATAGGACCATAAAATGTTTGTCCAATCATATCCCTCGGTCCGAGGGCTACAATAGGCTGTCTTACCTGCCTGTCAACATATGTATTTGCATACTTCTGCACACCCTGTTTGCACAGACATGATACGTCATCAGCGCGTTCCATTACGCTATTGCAGACCGAGCGAGAATGGAAGGCATTATTATTGTAATATTATGCACTTTGTACTGTAATGTTTTCTCACCGGTGAATGAGACATGAAGTAATCTGACAACGTTGCATTCAATCCTCCACCAACGCCGTCTCTCACAGTGTCGCTGGTTAGCCTCTGGTCTGCTTGTGCGTGTTCATGGGTTTTGGAGGAGGCGTGGCTTTGCAGAGTGATTATGCAGGGAGGGTGGGATCTTATGCTTTCAAAGCTACCTTGCTATTGCTAGCCTCTCTGAAATCGCCTACCCTACCTTTAATACCGAAGTCCTCCAGTTTCATTCTACAGCAAATACAGTAAATAGCTGAGGCACAATATGAGCAGTTGTGTTTGAATGAAACAAGCGAGAGCGTGGTGGTGTGATATGAGAGACGTGAAAGGAGCGCCGGCCTCAAATACCCGGATGAGCGTTGTGTTATTCGGCATTGCTAATGACGATGATTGTTATCGGGAAATAACACTCCTCGTTTTATATTGACTGACCAATCAGATTCAAGTATTCCTGGAAGAGGTGTAGTAGACATTTATAAAAGTCTCACCATATCTATAGTCATCTGTCGCAGGGACTGTCGTTGTTTCTTGCTGAGGTTGCGGAAGATATCACAGTTCTCCTCCTGGAGAAGCTTGAAGCCCACAGCCAAGTGATGATTCTCCAACACTGAGGCATCATTATACATGAGAGCCAGTTCAGAGTCTGAAAGAGTGAAGAGAAAAATAACATACTATGGTCCCGCTGGCCTTTTAGTAGCGATGCACCGAAATTTTGGCGTATCTTTATTTAAATAACATTTATTTTCGGTTTTGGTTTTCGGCCAAGTGCATTCTGAATTTTTGGTTTCAATCAAGAATTTTAATTTCGATGCATCAGTTTTTCAAATAGGTGTTCCAGTGTTTGTGTTGAATGGATGTGGGGATGGATTTTGGAGTTATTTTAATAGTTTGTCATTAAAGAGTCGTACTTGTGTTAATAAGGAACTGGTTAGACACTCCTGGATGGTCCACATCATGAATAGCACTTGCAAACAGAGCAGCCATGATCTCAAGGTCTGTGAACACATCCTGAAAAAAAACCCAAAAAACAAATCCTGGTGTTAACAATGGTTACTTCCCATGAGCACTATGCATGTACGCGATCATCCATGCTGACCTCTAGGGCAGGTGTGGAGAGAAGAACGTGTGTGGACTGCACAACATCTGCTGCGTGGATATTGTTATGGTAGGCCACGTCCGGATGGTAGTGATCTTCCAAAGTCATGAGGAAAGTTAAGAAGGTGTCCGATGGGATCTTAAAGGTCTTGAGCAAATCTCGCTCCTGACAATTACAGAGTATAAAAATATAGTCAACTGTCAGGTAAATCTGCAGTTAAAACCAGCGTAAAAATATACAGAAAAGCAACAGTAATTTCAGTTAATGCTAAACATACCAATGATAAAATTATGAGATTTTTCTTCTGGCAGGTTTTCTAACAGTTTTTCTATCTGTTGTTTTTTATTCAAGGCTATTTATATTAGCGAACAATAGCGAAGCAGTGAAACATTTATGTCAAGAGACATTTCTAGACAAATGTCTTACCTGAAAAATGGTGTACATTATGACCGTCAGTGGCCGATTCCCAGAATACTCTGCTATCTTAAAAATATCTATACCCCAACGATTGATGTCCTCAAGCTCCTGGAGTGAAAAATACAGTCATTCTACTCCAATGAAGAGCACTCATAATAACATGAACAATAATAATAATATAGCACTATGAATCCATGAAAGACAGCATAAAGTCTTTATCAAAATATTTCACTAAAAGTAGTTTGTTAGGTTTTAAAATTATTATTTAAATAATATAGTTAATAATACATATATTTTCATCAAGACATCAAGATGATTTAAAATAAGACAAAAGCATTAAAATAAGCAAAATTTAAAAAAAAATAAAACAACTGAACTAAACTAAAAATCTAAAAACAAAAACATTTTGTTTAATTCCGTTTACTTACTATAAATAAAGATCACCTTGAAAGACCTTAATGTATATTATGATGTCTTTTTAAAACATGCATCATACTTTCTGTATTGTACTAATAAAAAAAGTAAAAATGAATAAAACCCTCAATAATTTTTGCTGTAAGTAAATCTAGCCAGTATGTTCTGCACATCAAGACTTTGGAGTCAAGCAATAATACAAGTTAAACTAAATAATTTTAAAATTGTGATTTCTAGACTTTTGAAAAGTCATGTAAATGAACATGAAAATCAGTCTTAAATCTCCATGGGCATTTTTTTTTATAATGACAATACATGTTTCTAGTTATTCCAAGCTCTAAATTATTTTATTGGGTAGAAATTGGGAGTAAAAATATTGAAACAATTATTTTACATTAAATCACAAACAACTATAAAAAGCTATGGTCACTTGAATATTGTTGTGGACAATTGGAGTCAAAAAAGTTGAGACCCACTGGCCTAATTAATATTTAAAAAAAATAAAAAATCAGACTGAAAAAATGCGGGAAAAAGTCAGAATTGTGAGATATAAACACAAATTGGTCTTTTTTCCTATGAATTCTAAGTTTCCTCTCACAATTCTGACTTTTTTCCTCTGAATTCTGAGTTTATATCTTACAATTCTGTTTTTCTGTTTCCACCACGGAATAAAAAATACAAAAGGTAATCGCAATTTTTGGTAAAAGGTAATCGCAAATTTTAGTATATATTTCCCAATTCTGATCTACAGTAGAACTGACAAAGAGTGAAATGAAGGGACACCTTGGCCAGGAGGCTCTCATGCTGTGTGTTGACACCAAATCGAGGGATGCGTGTGTCGGGAGGGAGACTCGGACTGGGGCTCAGTTTTCTCACTCCACTTATCTGAGACATCGGACGGCGTTTTTTCTCCTCCTTACACGCTGCTGACAAAATCTCCACATCATGCTGTTTTTCTGCAACACAAACCACAGAGTATGTGAAAAGCCCTGAGCTAAATTCAGATTGAAAGGAAGACAGTAGGGGAAAACAGAAGAAAAATACTGAATATATATTTCTCTGAAGTAATGCTAAACACACCATGCTATCATAAATCCAGTCTCTAAATTTGTGCATATAAATGACAAAGTCACTCACGTAAAATTGTGCTTGCTATGAACTCTGACACCTGGTTTCCTGACCGGCTGGTCTCTGACAGCTGAGTTAGTTCCCTGTTGAGCATTCTTTTAAACTAAAAATAATACAACACATAAAATTAATAAAACATTAGAAACATTATATTCGCAACAGTCAAGTTCCGGAAGTAAAAACGCCATTCATTTTCTCCATTAGGAAATTGATTTTTAACAATAACTGATAAAACATTAAAGACAGACCTGTTGTGAGCTGCAAGGCTGTTAAACGATTGTATATTCTTTTGCTGAACCCATATGTTCGCATTAATTCAACTTATTTTTAAAAGAATCATATTGTGCAATAAAGGAATTTGTGGTGAAAAACTACATTACCCATGATGCAGTGCAAAAAAATCCACCAATCAGGGAGTTGCAGTGAGCAAAGAGTGCCAAAGGAGATCTTTAGCTCTGCCCACTCTCATGAAGCACCGCGAATCGTGTAATGAGTTGGCCTCCCTACACTATGAAAATACTTAGATATTTGTATAAATGCATATTTTGCAATGAACTTAAATATAGGCTATTGTTTCTGTAGATAAACAATGAATAATAGTATGAATAATTAAATGAATAGTTTTATATTTCTCTGGCATTTGTAATTCAATTAATGTCATTCGCAATGCTTCATGGGATTGTAGTTCCTTCCCTCATTAAAGCTGTTTTGTCTGATTCTCATATACTTTTTTTGCTTCAAATTAAAGTCTGTAATGTTGTGATTCCCCTCGTAGCTGGTTAGTTTGGTTCATGGCTTACAATGCTTTTTTTTTTTTTTTAAACCCTATGGGAAAAATGAATGAGAAAAATACTTCTCGAAACCAGCGCTGATGAAAAAGTGGCACTAATGTACTGATTTCAGTGTAATAATTACAACAGCAACTGATACAATGAATAGAACTGTAAGCAGTAGATGCAGAAAATGAGTGTTATAACACTGCCAGTGATCAGCCGTCAGAGCCCTACAGCACAGTCATCACACTGTTACTTGGTTACCATGGTAACTGAGTCCATACCAAAAGCTGTGTGAGGAAACACTCATTCAGACACTACAGTGCATGTCGGGGGTTATGTAATCATGAATCAGCAAAATGATTTACAACTCTGGTTAACATATACTGTAATATAAACTGAATATGGAGCATTGCAATAAAAGACCCAAACAGTTCTGTATTTAGGAAAAAGAACAACCAGCATGAGCGTTTTTTCTCTGATGAGAAACATAAATTCAGTCAAATAAGACCACACTTTTGACTAATAGTAAACATACTGTACTACAGTATGTCTCATGCACTATAATAACTGCAACCACTCTGTCAACATTGCTTACGTCCACGTTTCTCTTTAGTACTGTACTGAAATATGCTGGTATTGTATTGCATTGTTGCTATCTTTATGCATGGCTCTGTGTGTGTAATATGCACAACATCAAACGGGAATTTAATTCAAATACTGAGTTACAAATTACTCAAATGTTATTATTAACATAAAGACCTTAAAATCAAAATGTACTACTCTGTACCCAAAAACATATTAAAAACCAATTTATTCCATTAAATTATATTTATTACTAGAAGTATCATAAAAGTAGCCTTCTGAAGTCATATGATAGCTCTGTGTGCAGTGTTATTTTAGTATTATTTATTTACTAATATAATATTTATTAATATTTTAAATTTTATATTTTCAGTTTTCATTTAAATTGTAGTTTTATTATTTTATTAATTTTCATTATTATTATTAATAATTTTAAAATATTTCTGTTTAGTTTTTTTTTTAGTAATTTTATTACTTCAATTTAAACATTTTATTTCAGTTTGTTGCCAACACAACATTTAGAATTTTTACATTTAAAAGTTTTTCATCTAATATTTATATTTAATTTTATTTTAGCTCTGTTTCAATGAACTAAAATGATTTTTATTAGTTTTAGTTAACAACAGCTTCGAAATGGGCAAATGAAACGTTTTATGAACTACAGACTTCATGACAAAATCTGCACCGCAAATGGCTTGTGAGCTAACATAGTGTAAATGCTATACTGTATGGCCAGTTTTATGTTGCTTTTTTGACTTTTTAGGCATCTTTGGGCATAAATACACTGTATGTAAAAGAACTGCTCGTACATCAACTCATTTCTTGTTTTAAGGAGAACAAATGATTCCAATTTTCACTTTTGACTGAAATATTGCTTTAAATACCTTATTGGAGGCCATTTCACTGACGGAGTGACGTGTTTGCAGGGTCTCTAGCTGGTCCAAACACCAGTCCAGCTCTTCAAGAGTCTCGACGGCGAGTTTCTGATATGCCTCATCTGCAACAAACAACCTCAGATGTCAGAACATCAATAATGTTAAGGGTCACTATTCAGATGTTCAACCTTTACATCTCTAAACATATGGCTGAGGTCTACAGTATAAGAAAAAGTCCTCATCTTTGGCTAGACCAGCTCATGCTCTTACACTCACCGGACAGGCTTGTTTTACAGGCCGACTGAGGGTTAGTGCCTGACAGTCTCCTAATTTACAGAAAAAACATTAAAGAGACTTCATGTGACAATTGTTATAAATCATTTTCTTATTAATCTTTCCATTCACTGACTGTCTGAAGGTGTTTCTGCTACAGACTCACTTGTTGTTTCTATCTTGCATGTGGGTTAAAGCTGCAACGTTACCCCTCACTGTACGCAGACTGGCAAGAACCTACAGGACACACACACACACACAGTGCAGAGTGACTGTAAGACATATTACACATCCACGTATCTACACAATACAATGGCCACAGAACTACAGAATCCCTTCTTACGCACATCTTATTATAAATCAATGTGCAGAGTACCATGCACAATTTTGTGAGCTCTTTGTGAAATTGTAAATATAAAAGGCTTTAATATATAAGGGCTGCCGATTTAACGTGTTAGTTTGATTAATGGGTCATTCGATTAATTATCAAAGAAATAATATATTAAAATTATTAACGCATTTAATGCTCCCGCCATCTGATTGTATGTAATCTTACACTGCATGCAGATGCTGATGAACATGATGCTGGAAAATTACTGACTGTGAGATGTAGCCTATGAGAATGCAGTTATATGCCCTAAAATTCAAGATATGGGCAAAAATTTCCCCGTATAGGTTTTTGTGTTTCGTTACTGAATGAATCCACATTTCTGAACAAATCAAATAAGCCAATGATTCAGTGAGTCATTCATAAAGACAGTCTTTAGAGTATCATATTGAGAGTATAAATTCACATTCAATATTTAATTTTTTTTTTACAACTCACTAATGCCCACTTAAATCCCATTAATCTCATAGCATTATCTATTAAATTCTAACAGCAATGTAAATGTCTATTCAATGATTTTCTCATTTAACACAATAATGACTTTATCTTTTTTTCCCCCTCAGCTCAAACTGATTATTTTGAAATCGGTACATCATGCAATTAATTCGATAATAAATTTTAATCTCTTGACAGCCCTAATATATATAGCTAGAGGGCATATATACTGTATATATTATACATTTATTAAATCAATAACCAACTGACCTGAGCAAACGGCGTTACAATCATGTCCTCCCCATGACTGCAAAAGAGAAGTCAACAATCATAATCAAATTACAAATTTAGCAAGAAATCAATATTGAATTTACTTTCTTAAAGCAATTTCATTGTCTTATTACTAATGATTGGCTGGTGCATATTAATATTTCGCTCTGACACTGAAACACCTTTCCACATCGTTTGACGTCACAAATCCTTCTTACTTTTTAACCCCTTCCCCTCCAATCACAGATTAAATAATTTCCTGATGGATAAAATCTATGGAGGATTGGGATTGCCATATAAATATATACATCTTTCAATAAAAGTGTAAATATAAATAAATAAATATATTTATATATATATTTAATATATAAATATATAAAAAAATATTTGTTTTCCTGTATTTTTAATAATACAGTCTCTCTCTCTCTCTCTTTCTCTCTAGACTGATATGAAAGATTTATTTCTTAATTCTGCACTCCCATTTCTTTTTAAAAAACATTCCTTATTTTACTTGGAAATACATGAGATTACAGAAGTAATACAGGTTGAGAACTGTATTTCCCACTGATTTTATATTTACAATATGCTTTAGTTTTTATAAAGATAGAAATAAATGTACTGCTTTCAAGAGCTACATGCTGAAAGATGAACTAATAATTAAGTGGGAAATCAGAAAAATATGTTGAGTCAGTCCAGTGACAGAGTACTATGACATATTGTGCTTTAGTGTGTGATGAAAGCTTACAGCTCGCTGGCGGTTGAGGAGTTTCTGGACATGGTCTTGGGCGAGAGGTCGAAATCTGAGTCCGAGCGGTAAAGGAAAGACTCTCGCCTCTGGCTGTTGGCCTGGAGGACCAGACCTGAGCTTGGACTGGGGTCCAATGGACTGCGCCCGATCGACATCCCATTTTCCACATCGAAACTGTAACAGAATGAAAGGTGACAGAAAGTTAGTTATCTAAGGGAACATTTTTACAACTAAAAGAAGAAACTGCCAAGCATTTGATCGAAGGACTGCTGAAAATTGCAACATACATTTAAGACACTGCTATTCTTGCAACTGCAAGGACAAGTGTTATTTTTAATGTTAAATCTATGATTATCCAACAGCAGAGGACAGAAAGAGTGCATGTTAGTTTTTATATATTCTGAATTAAACATTTCATTTAGGGCTGCACAATCATGGTTAAATACTTAATCACAAACATTTTGTTCATTAATATTATTAATCATGATCATTGTCATTTTAATTTCTTTTTTTTTTTCACATTTTATCAGAATTACTGCACTTTCACATAAGCACAAATCAAAAGAACGTCAACCCACAATTTGCTTGCAGATTGAGTCACAGCAAAAAGCGCAAAGACCAAGTGAAAGAAAACAGACATGCTCTATTACACTTTTATTTGAGCAGAACATCTCAATAGAGATCGTCTCGGGTTACGTATGTAACCCTAGTTCCTCGAGGGAACGAGACGCTGCGTCGGAAACGCTAGGGGAACGCCCTTCAGCGTGACGGGCTCTGAACCTCGTGTGTAATCAGACCAATAGATGGGCGAGACGTCACGGCGGGTGACGTAATGACCAGGAAGCTATAAAAGCACGTGCGGTGAGACCAACGTCAGCTCCTAGGAATGAAGCAAGCGCTGGCAGGGACGCCGGAAGTATGGCACCAAGACGCAGCGTCTCAGTGAATGGGGACCAACAACTGTTTGGTTACCCACATTCTTCAAAATATCTTCAACAGAAGATAGCTATGTTCAATAGAAGAAAGAAACTCAAACAGGTTTGGAACAAACTGAGTGTAAATGATGACAGAATTTTTATTTTTGAGTGAACTATCCCCTTAAGGGTTTTTCAACTCCCTATAGTCCAGAGTAATAAACTCAGACCTGTTTTTGAAATATTATCGATACCTCAGTTCACATTATTATTTTTCTAGTTAATCAAACTTTGGAGTTCTTTCTTCTGCTGAATATATTTTGAAGAATGTGAGTAACCAAACAGTTTCTAGTCCTCATTAACTTTCATAGTATTTTTTCTTTCCATACTATGGAAGTGAATGGGGACCAACAACTGATTGGTTACCCACATTCTTCAAAATATCTTCAACAGAAGATAGCTATGTTCAATAGAAGAAAGAAACTCAAACAGGTTTGGAACAAACTGAGTGTAAATGATGACAGAATTTTTATTTTTGAGTGAACTATCCCCTTAAAGACCCAGATGAAAAAACATGGCACAGGAAAAAACAAGACGCAAGATGGGTCATAAAGTGCTGGCTTGAGTGGTTCCTGTAGAAATGACCCTTCAGAAAACAAAAAAAAAACACTTACATTCTCTAGATAGCTGGACAGTATTTCTTTAACATGAACATGTATACCTGATTCAACCCAAATAAACATTGGTATACATTAATGTATTTAGTTTGTTTAGTTTGATAATGTATTTAGACCTCAGTACAACTTTTTTCTTTTTTCAGCGCGCACACGCACGCACGCACGCACGCACGCACACACACACGTATGTATGTACCTGTGGCTCAGTGGTAGAGAATTGTGTTTGCAGAGGAAAAGGTTGTGGGTTCAATTCCCAGGGACACACATTCTGGTAAAAAAATGTATAGCCTGAATGCACTGTAAGTTGCTTTGGATAAAAGCATCTGCTAAATGCGTAATTTTTTTTTCCTGCTAAATGCATAAATATATATATATATATATACACACACATATATGTGTGTGTGTGTGACTGGTGACCTAAAATTATAAATTAAATTACTTTATTGAAGTCAAAAATACTACTTAATATCGATTAATCAACCTATATAAAATAATTTACAACAACAAACCAAGTGTTTATGGGTTTAAGTCAGGTAACAGTTTCATGGTTACCACATTTTACAGTGTAAAGGAATTAATATTTAGTAAATATCTAGTTTAAAAGACGATATCTGCTGTTTAACGATCAAATGAACAGAGTGAGAATGCTACAAATAATTTTGATGTATATACATTACTACGACTACTAATATTTATTATAAATGCAAACTCTTGACTTTGAATCAGACTTGGAACTCTGAACCAGATAGAAACTCTGAATACGAATTATGATGCAAACTCTAAATCAGAATTATGATGCAAACAGTGACTCAGATGCAAACTCTGAATACGAATGCAAACTTAACTATTTCAACAGATGCAAACTTAACATAGCTCCACTATTTAATGATATTGCATTAGACTCATTAGAGTAATGGTCCATTACTCAGTAGAATTGTGCAAATCTTTTCAGCATACTCTAAAGCACAAGATAATGTCTGGAAATAATCTAGTATCTAACTGCTAATGAATATATCAGAATGTTTGTTTATATTGTAACAGCTGGACAAATCAGACACATTATTATTTGTTATATTTAACAAATAATCCACAAACACTCTACACCAAACAGGCAAACCATGAGGTTCTCTGGAACCCTTCCCCTGAAATGCAAATAACCCCAAAGGGACAGAACAGACCTCTGGTTACCAGAGTAACCAGAAAAATTTTACAACCCAAAAAATATAGAAAACCTCCCTCTTACTTAACTGCCCATAGAAAAGGACTTTCTTTCATTAATTCACATACAAACTGTGAATGAACATGCACATCCCCAGGACATTGTGTGCATCATTACTGTTTTGTATATTGTCTTTTGTATTGGTACCGTGTTTGATATCAAAATAACCCTTTTTTAGTCCACCTTCCATTGGTGCATACCACCTCCTTATACCGTAACGTGCATTATATGCTTTAATCAGAGTATAAAGTGATACATAACTGCTTGCCCACTCTGATCACGCAAAAGAGCCAGCTTTCACACAAAGAGACTCTTTCCCTCCAAAAATTACACCTCCATTGGTCAAGCCAAACTCAGAAGATGTGACCTTGCTAGAAGTTAAAAGGCCTCACTACTCTGTGACCTCCCGCTCTTCTTCTATTCTCTTACTTACTTCTCTTACTGCTCTTACACTCTTGCCTCTCAGACATCCATCCAGGCGATCCCGTGGGACCTCCCTCGCGCCGGCAGGACCTTAAAGTCGCAGCAAGCCATGTTGCAACTTTCCACCTGGGAGAGAAATCTCCTGACCACCGAGTCAGAATAACATCTTTGGCGTTCATCACTCACCAACCCAGAAGAACTCGATCACAACTCCAACACCACCGAACTGTTGAACCATCAAGACTTTCATCCGAGACTGAATCCGGACGTTCATTCAACGGCTAAGGCAATGCAAGTATCGCACATTTAACTGAAGTTAACTGAGATTTAGTGTAAGCGGTAGACCCCTTTGCTACAAAGGTGCTGATGGTTCGCTCAGGTGATTAATTGACTTTGACTTTCCATAGCTTCATTCCCTTGGTTTCTATAACGGTCTTCATTCATTCATTTCTACTTCCCCTTTTCCCATGTGTATGCGTGATTGTATGTTTATTTGTTTGTTTAGACAAGTTATGTCTTAGTGTGTAGTTAATAAAAAGTTTGTGCACAATTACATTTTATTCTGTCATCGCTTGTAAACAAAGTCAATTTAACGAGCCGATCTTGCTACATGCTCTAATGCATTAGTATGTAAGAAAGTTATTTTCTGTGGCCACGAAAATAACATTTCCTAGAGTTAATACGAAATTACACTGCATGTTCGCTGGACAAACAGATTAGTTGATGGTAATATTAATTCTGCTACAGTCACTTCTGGCAGCTGATATAAATATTTGTAATTAATTTAATTAATTGTTATTATTTATATACATTTCCCTTTTGAGCTAATTTGCTACAATATTAACTAATAAGATACATTGTAATCTATCAATGCCTCAACAACATCTGCCAAATGTCCTAATAATCAAAAGGAAATGTTTAGATATGTAATGATCTATTTCCAAACTAAAACACACAGGTATCAAATATATGTCTTGTCAACATGCATATGTTATCAGAGAAACAGCCACTGTCAAGACAAGCAGGTAAATTATTCATGTGGTTTTGGGGAAAGAAGATATATAATAGAGCATTAAATACTGAGGAAAATTACGGTACGATTACAATCTACAGGAGGTTTTTCTTTCTCATAATTCAGTACTGTGTAGCAAAATCCATATATTTCCACAGAGAGGGAAGAGCAAAGTACAAAATGCGAGTTCTGAACAGCAGCCTGACAAAATGCCAGAGTTTGTATAAAGCAGCAAATGTCAACAGTGAACTTACCACAGTATGTGCTTTTCAGCAGATCTCGGTCGTGTTCGCAAGCAGATTGCCATTCTAACTCTCAAGACTTTTAGTAAAAACCTTGGACAAAAATCCAAAGACAATCTTACCATATAAATATTTCCTGAAGAATAAAAAGATATATTTCTTACATTTGATTTACTAATTTAATTGGATATTTCTTTTAAAGACATTCAATTATTTAAATCCAGAGACTGAAATCTGTAAATGCTGAAGCTTAATATAGTGTTTTTACCATAAACACATCCAGTCCTCTCTCTTTCTCTTGTTTTTTGACTGCACACACACACACACACACACACACACGTGTAACTGCTTTTTGCCAACAGACAAGTCGCAGCATGCTAGTAAAGCTGACAGATTTGTAGAATACCACAGAAACATATGTCAGACAGCTTCAGGATCAGACATGCTTAAGAGAAAAAAAATAAGAAACTGCATTTTGCCAAAAAGGAGCCTATTTTTTAGGGGAATTACATTATTTTTTTTCATTGCAATTATTTTAATTACAATTAAATTAGGACTGTCAATCGATTACAATTTTTAATCTTTTTCAAACATCCTTTTTCTGTGATTAATCGCGATAAATCGCACACTTCATGAAATTAAGCATAGACCATTTATCTTGTTTCAAATGTTTATTTTGTCATCATT